GTGGAGTAGAAAATTCTCTCCAACTTCAGTGGTCAAAGAGTTTATTAACCATGACATTACAAGATGATCATCAATCTTCCATGAACGAAATTTTGAATCCGTGGCCTCTGGAGCAACAGCTTCACCAGTGAGATGTCTATCCTTGCCTCTGCTGCATACAAACATAAATACAGACTGAGACCATTGCAGAAAATTTTGGCCATTCAGTTTGTGATTGGTAACGGGATGAGGAGATGAATCGGGAATGGTGGAAATCGCAGGAGTGGATCGGGTCTGGTAGTCACTTCCGAGGAAGCCAATTGAAACGCCATGCCGTATTTAGTCATGGAAAAGAGTCGACCAGAAGAATGAAGAGGACGCACGAAGAGAAGCTAGGGCTCAGAGAGAGCTAGGGCTCTGATACCATGAAGAAATCGTGAATTTACTTCTTGAATTGAAACAATAATTTACATCCTAATTTACAGACTAAGGGCTGGCATACAAGACCATCAAAATAGGAAACTGAATTCCTACAAATCAGGAATTCTAAAAATAAAATAATAACTAACCTAGATTACAATTTCCTAACTTCGGTAAGACCACAATTAAATAAAATCTAATCTTTTCTAAATAAAGAAACTAAATATATAAATCTCCTAACTTATTCTTCCTAACACGTCTCCTTATTTCCACAGTTTGTTAAGATGATCTCATACATCAAATCATGGACTCTACATTCTCTAGATATTCCATATTTTGTTTCCAATAATACCAAATTTCTTTGGATGAGCTCATTCGAATATTCTTCGGCAACTTCTTCTAGAGTCTTGTTACTTTTTGCTTTAACAAAGCCTTCGGCAATCCATAACCCATACAACTGATTATCATAAATTCGATAATCTTCATGAAAAACTCCAAAATATAGGAAGCAACGTCTAAGATGGTGAGGATGATCAAAATAACCAACAGAGAGAATCTTTTCAATATCTGTTTTTTCGAACTCTGAAGTTAGATTGTTAACACATTTTCCACTCAAATTCAGACATTTGTTTGGTTGACAAAACACCAGCTATGGTTGCAATAACAAGTGGCAAGCCTTGGCATTTGCAAAGAATGTCATACGACAATTGCTCCAACTCTTGCGGGCAACGCCCCTCAAACTGATCGTTTTGAAATGCCTTCTTGCAAAATAATTGGCAAGCCATTTCTAAAGACCAAATTTGCAACTCTTTCACAACATCGCAAGAGTTTTCCTTAGAAAAAGCAGCAACATTATCATTATGTGTTGTAATAATTATCCTACTGCCGTTGTTATTATTTGGCAAAGCATATTTCATAATGTAAGAAATGGAAGATAGAAAATACTTTTATTCCTTCATAGTTTTAGAGAAAATGTACAGGGATTATATAGGCTTAGTGAGGTCTAATGTAATCCCTAAAACAGAGAAACAAAATCTGTAAATAAGGAAACAATACAAAGTCAACTATCCTCTCCTAATAACCGGATTTTCTCCCTCCTAATATCCGGTCATACACCTATTCCACAGCTCATACTTTCCTAATTTACCGACACTCCCCCTCAAGTTGGTGCATAAATATTGATCATGCCCAACTTGCTTACACACGAGTCAAATGACTGTCTCTGTAACCCTTTGGTAAAGGCGTCAGCAATTTGTTGAGTGGTTGGTACGAATGGTACACAAATGACTCCATCTTCAAGTTTCTCCTTTATGAAGTGCTTGTCAATTTCTACATGCTTCGTACGATCATGTTGAACTGGGTTGTTAACAATACTGATAGCCGCCTTGCTATCACAGAATAGTTTCATGGGTAGTTCCACTGGTTCATGGAGGTCTTCTAGCACCTTCTTCAGCCAGAGTATCTCACAGATTCCTTGAGCCATTGCCCTGTATTCTACGTATGCACTACTCCTGGCTACCACGCTTTGTTTTTTGCTTCTCCACGTTACCAAATTTCCCCATAGAAAGGTACAATATCCAGAAGTGGATTTTCTGTCAATCACGGAACCTGCCCAGTCTGCATCAGTATAGACTTCAATCCTTCGTTGATCACTTTTCTGGAAAAATAATCCTTTTCCAGGAGTTCCTTTTAAATATCTCAGAATTCTGTAAACAGCTTCCAAGTGTTCTTCATAAGGAGCATGCATGAACTGGCTTACCATGCTAGTGGCAAAAGAGATATCTGGTCGAGTGTGGGATAAATAGATCAGCTTTCCCACTAGACGTTGATATCGACCTATATCAACCGGAACTCCTTCCCTTACCTCTCCAAGTTTTGAGTGAGGCTCCATAGGGGTATCTGAAGGTTTGCATCCACTCATACCGGTTTCTTCTAAGAGATCTAGAATATACTTCCTTTGAGAAATTACCATGCCCTTTTTTGATCTAGCAATTTTCATTCCAAGAAAATATCTAAGAAAACCTAGATCTTTAATCTCAAATTCGGTTGAGAGATTCTTCTTCAACTTGTTCATTTCCTCAGTGTCATCACCAGTGAGAATAATATCATCCACATACACAATCAAGACCGCAATTCTACTTTCTGCAGAAATCTTTATGAACAGAGTGTGATCTGACTGCCCCTGTAAAAACCCTTGAGACTTTACAAACCTTGCAAATCTGTCGAACCAAGCCCTCAGAGATTGTTTAAGTCCATATAGAGACTTTTTCAATCTGCAAATCTTATTCCCGAAACTATAACTGAAACCTGGGGGAGCCTCCATATATACTTCCTCTTCTAAGTCTCCATTAAGAAAGGCATTCTTGACGTCTAGTTGATGAAGAGACCAATCTAGATTAACTGCAACAGAAAGTAACACTCTTACTGTATTCAACTTAACAACTGGTGAAAAGGTTTCTAAGTAATCAATTCCGTAGGTTTGTGTAAACCCCTTGACAACCAACCGAGCTTTGTATCTTTCAAGAGATCCATCAGAATTGTACTTCACGGTGAACACCCATTTGCACCCAACTCGTGTTTTCCCTTCCGGACGATCTACTTTCTCCCAAGTTTTATTCTTCTCAAGAGCTATCATCTCCTCAAGGACTGCCTCCCTCCACTCAGGAACTTCTAGAGCATCCTGTATATTCTTTGGAATTGCAACACAAGACAATTTTGGGGTAAATGCCCTAAATGATGGGGACAGACTCTCATAGGATAGAAAAGTATACAACGGATGTTTAGTACATGTCCTAGTGCCTTTCCTAAGAGCAACGGGAAGATTCAAATTTTCATCTGACTCTGGAATAGAACTTGGTTCAGAAGACTCAAACTTAATAGGAATAGGACTAGACTTACTTGACTGATCTTCAACATCTGGATTTGTTCCTAGGTTAGATTCTTGGCCATGCTCCAAGTCGTCGGTCTTTTTCTTCTGTCCTGGATACTTCCTCGAATAGACTTTCCCTTTAAAGCGATGTCCATCTTGCCTCGTACACATCTCGCTTCCTTCCTGAGTTTGATTTTGTAATGGCAGAAAAGGTTGATTCCCATTATTTGAGATATCTTCATTTTCAATGTTTACCATGGTCTCAGATTCATTGATTTTTTTCCCTTCTTCGGGTAAAAAAATCTTCCAATAGCCAATTAAAAGATGAAGAATCTTCACTAGATGTCTCCCCCTGAAGATGAGTTTTACAAAAGAAAGGTTTGTCTTCAAAGAATGTGACATCCATGGAGATAAAAAAAAATTTTGGATATTGGATCAAAACATTTGTATCCTTTTTTAGTTGAAGGGTAACCAACGAAAACACATTTTCTTGCTCTAGGGTCAAGTGTTCCGTGATTGATATCATGAACATGTACAAATGCAGTACAACCAAAAACTTTAAGGGGAAGATCATGTGAGAGCCGAGACAAAGGAAAGTGTTCCTTAAAACAATTTAAAGGGGTTTGAAATTTTAAGATTTTCGAAGGCATTCTATTAATCAGATAGGTAGATGTGAGAACAGCTTCACCCCATAAATATTTAGGAACATTATTAGAAAGCATTAAAGATCTTGTTACCTCTAAAAGATGTTTATTTTTCCTCTCGGCAACCCCATTTTGTTGTGGAGTGTTGTTGCAGGAGCTTTGGTGAACAATACCATTTTGCTCGAAACAATTCCCTAGGATTTCATTGAAATACTCTTTGTCATTGTCACTCTTGAAAACTTGAATCTGAGTTTGAAATTGTGTTTGAATCATTTTATAAAAGGTTTTAAACACATTTTCAGCTTCCGATTTTTCATGGAGTAAAAACACCCATGTGATCCTAGTATGGTCATCAATGAATGTGATGAACCATCTTTTTCCAGTGATTGTCTTTATTCTTGAAGGTCCCCACACGTCACTATGAATTACAGAAAAAGGTTTTGTGGGCTTGTAGGGTTGTGCCGGAAAGTAAGTGCGACGGTGCTTGGCAAGTTCACAAATTTCACATTGAAATGAAGCTGGATTTTTATTCAAAAACAACTTTGGAAATAGATGTCTCAAATAATAAAAACTTGGATGTCCTAACCTAAAATGCCATAACATAATTTTATTCTCATTAGGAATTGAAATAGAATTGAGACAAGTTCTCTGAGATTGCCTATTCGAGTTGTATCCATCTTCAAGTAGATATAGACCTTCAACTTGCTTAGCTTTGCCAATCGTCTTCCCCGTGATCAAATCCTAAAATTGAAAACCGGAAGAGGAAAAATTAGCCTGACACCTTTGATCAACGGTTATTTTACTGATCGACAACAAATTACATGACAACTTGGGGACATGAAGAACATTATGGAGTGTTAAAAAATGAGAGATAACAATTGACCCTTTCCCGGCTACAACTGAGAAAGAACCATCCGCTATTTTGACTTTTTGATTTCCTGCACAAGGGTTATATGAAGAAAAAAATTATGATGATCCGATCATATGATCCGTTGCTCCGGAATCGACTGTCCAAGAATCTTTTGAATTGACACTTAGACACCTTTTGAATTGATACTTAGACATGACGCTATTAGGTGATTAACTTTCTAAACCAGAGAACAAGAAGGATTTGAATCATTGAGATTTTGAGACTGGAGAAGTTTACAGATTTGCTCTATCTGTTCATTTGTGAACGACGGCATTCCAGAGGTAGCTTCGGGCCTTGATTCAGAAACATTGGCTTGAGAGGCACGGTTATCTACAGGTGTTTTCTTCTTCCAATTGCTTGGTTTGCCATGGATTTTCCAACATGCGTCCCGAGTATGCCATGGTCGTTTACAATGATCACACCAAGGCTTCATTTTGCTATTCTTGTCCTCTCCTTCAGCCCTGGCCCCTTTGGACATAAGTGTAGAACTTTCTGCGTCCGATTCTTTTTTTCCAATCATCACTTGCCGCCTTTTTTCTTCTCTTCTAACTTTAGAGAAAACTTCCCGAATGGATGGCAGCGGCTTTCTCCCCAAAATCCTGCCTCTAACCTCATCTAAATCTTGATTTAGCCCTGCAAGAAAGACATAAACACGGTCACTCTCTTCCCTTTTCTTGTGCCGGATGCTGTCATTTGGGCACTCCCAATCGTCTTCATAGCATAGGTCTAACTCCTGCCACAAAGTTACAAGTTCATTGTAGAACACTGTAACATTTCTATCTCCTTGTTTTGCCTTCCATAGCTTGGTCTTTAACTCGAAAATCTAAGACGAATTCTCAATATCCGAGTACATCTCACGTACAGCTTCCCAAACGTCCTTGGCTGTTGGAAGAAACATATGTGGCTTCCCAATGGTTGGTTCCATCAAATTAATCAACCAAGCCGTGACAAGAGAATTCTTAGATCTCCACACTGCCATGTTTCAGTCTCCTGCAGCCGGTCTTGTAATTTCCCCTGTCAAATGGCCGAGTTTCCCTCTGCCATCAATAGCAAGCTTCACCGATTGAGCCCACTCCAAGTAGTTCCTGCCATTTAATTTATGGCTGATCAATTGGAAGGACATGCTTGAATTGAAGAAATCGTCAGCACCGTTCTTTGCTCCTCCGCTAACTGTTGGCCCTCTTGAACCCGATTGCACATTCTCTAATGAGGCACCGGAACTCACTGCACTTGGACTGTCACCCGCTGCAGAGGAGTCTCTCTTTTGGCCGGTCATTGCTAGTCTATAATCCATTTAGACTGCGGAAATAGGAGAAGGAATACAGGGGAATTGAAAGGCTGCGGATGAAGGAATAGAGTGCTGCGGATGAAGGAATGGAAGGCTGACATTTCAAGAAAGAGCCGTGGCTCTGATACCATGTAAGAAATGGAAGAAAGAAAATACTTTTATTCCTTCATAGTTTTAGAGAAAATGTACAGGCTTAGTGAGGTCTAATGTAATCCCTAAAACAGAGAAACAAAATCTGTAAATAAGTCAACTATCCTCCTAATATCCGGTCATACACCTATTCCACAGCTCATACTTTCCTAATTTACCGACACATAACATTCCAAATATCATTTTGCCAAACATCATCGAAAACAACGACATACCTCCTTGTCTGTAAAAATTGCTTCAGTGGACTTATCAACTCATCAATATTGCATTCTTAAATTATTCTTTGTGGAAGACGTACTTGCCTTGATACGATCCTCAAAAGATTCTTCATGTCGTATGATTGGGACACCGTGATCCAAGCATGGCAATCAAAATGAGATTTCACCACTTCATCGTTGTAGACTTTCCTAGCAAGAGTCGTCTTGCCAATTCCACCTTGACCTACCAATGAAATCACAGAGCGCATGGATTCTCCATCAATCAACATTCTCATAAGTTATTCGGATGCATCATCAATACAAACAATCTCATCTTCCTCCATGAAAAGAGATCCAAGACGAGGGTCTTGTCGTTCTCCATTTGTTGGTTTGCTACTCGATCCCTGCTCCAAAGGTCTTAATCCATATCCAACACCTCTATCCTTGATTCCGTGCAATGACTATTTAATATCTTGAATCTCCGATGCAATGTCATAACGTGCCTTTAACGCTTTGATACAATGACATGCTTTTCGAAGAGCTCCCATGAATCCACCTTCATAGCAATGATGTTCTATGCGATAAACGTAATCATCAACCAAATCCTCTATTCGCTCGGCTTCTTCTCGTATTTGCCCCAGCCATGCTTTTGATGCATCAAACCCTTTGTCTTTCTCCACCTTTGCCTCTGCATCTTTAAGGAAAGGCTCGATGATCTCCAGCTCATCTTTCAAACTCTTGACTTCTTTGTGGACGTCTTTTAATGAGAACCCTTCTTCAATTAGTAGCTCGGTCAATTTCTTGATGATAGGGCTCAAGAAAGTCTCCGCCATTAATTCTTCACTGCAACCTGATCAAACAAGAAACAGAAAGCTATCAGGCTTGCTATAAGGTTTGAGGATCGTGGTGCAGTGAGCTAGCAAAAACAGATCACTAGCCAATAAAGATTAGAGAGTTTTGGAGGAATAACTTACTGCATTGGACTAATGGAAAATCAGACACTTGATTCTGCACATTTCTCCTCCGCCAAGCAAAAGTATATTCTGTGATAAAAAAGAAAAAGTAAAGCACTTTTCAAATTCTTTCCTTGAATTCCTTTTACACGTTTGTCTAAAGACCTGTGAAGCACCCTTTTTTTTCTTGGCTTTTTCATGAATACCCCACTAAACTTATCCCTTTGGAAAATCAGTCACTTTACTAAAAATTTTGGCAATTGACCATTCCACCCTTGAATTTCAAATTAAATATGTTGCATAGCAAGTCCAATTATAAAGGGTGTTAATTTTTTGAACGGATTTCTCCACACTTCTATTCATCATAGATTAGTTTTTCAGCTTTGAACTTTTAGTGTTTTTCTTTCTGTTAGAAAATAGGAAAGAATCTGAATACATTTTTAGGAAAGTAGATAGTTGACTTTCAAGGATAAATGTGTAATTAGTTTCATGTTTCTTGATTAGGTGATTTGTTTCCTAAATAGTTTTTGTTTCTTTTTTTCTGATGTAATCATAGCTGTAAAGACAGCCTGTATACCGTATATAAATAGCCATGTTTTGGCTCAACTAAATACAGAATTCTCATTCAAAACCACATGGTATCAGAGCCATAAACTCTGAAAGTTTTTTCAGCCTTCATAGCCCTTGTTATTTCCGGCCTTCATTGCCAGAAAACCCTACCAAATTTCCTGCCCTCAGTTCTTCCCTTAGTCAGAAACAGCATGTCTGAAACTAAGTATTCTAAAACCACTGCACAATCTGAGGAATCTCCGGTTCAACAAACGTCTGGAGATCTCCAAAATATGCAGGCAGCATATAGGTTGAATGGGAGAAACTACTTGAAGTGGTCTCAATTTGTGAAAACCTATTTGAAGGGGAAAGGAAAGTGGTGTCAAACGTGACGTGCCGGGCCGGCAGGGCACGTCCAACACCAGGCCCGTGACGGGCCTGGCATGGCCCTGCACAGTGCAGGGCCGGGCCTGAGGAGAAAAACTCAGGCCCGCGGCCCTAGTCCATAATGGCTAAAAAAAAAAAAAAAAAAAAAAAAAAAAAAAAAAAAACCGGTACGATAGGGGCTGGGCCGGAGCCTGGGCCCAAGCCCTTCACCGGCCGGCCCAACAAATTGAATTTTTTTTTAAATGTAATTAAAAAAAAGAAAATATATCATATGCCCCTAAAAGATGTGATTTTATTGAATTGACATAATAGGAATAAGTACACATAAATGACTGCCTCGTTAAAAACCTTGTCAAGTAAAACCCGTGGGGATATCGGGACAAAACCTTAGCGAAGGAAAAAAGAGTGCAGTAGCTAGGAATAGTAAATTACACACCTAGGTGCTTCCAGAATATTCTGTTATTTCTAAGTTAGAAAAATATTTTTGGATTGAATAATCTGTGTATAGTTATTTTCATCTTCTCAGTCTTTAACGCACATTAGGCCTTCCAAGATATCTGGATGCATTCTGCTTCACTTCTCGTCAAAAATTCGGTTGCTTGCGCTAAATGCTTGCTCCGATGCTACCGTTGACACTGGAGTTATCAGAATGTCACGAGCTATTACGGACAGTGTTGAAAAATGATCGGTCTTGCTCTTCCACCACTGTAAGATGTCTAGTTTGTCGTCATCAATTATAAAATTTACTTTAAAATATTTTACTAGTTCGGTAAACGCTTGTGTTGATGACGATCCTGCCATTTTTTCTTTTTTCTTCAAGAAACTCCACGACGATCCTTTAGGCCCCGAACTGCTAGTTGACATCGAAGTTCCCTGTTTTTTTTACATGTGTCGTATTTTGCTTTATACAAAGTAAAAACATTTTCTAACATTCTCTTAGCATCAGTAATAGTTAGTTGCATATCTATTCCTAAATTTTATGCGGTAGCAGTCATCAATGAGTCAGCCCCATCTACTCTGCACCTAGGATCTAAAATGGTTGCCAATGCATATAACATAGGACAACCTGACTAATAACTTTTACACTATGTTTGGTATGAATGAAAAGTGGAAGGAAAGAAAATGTTGGAGGGATTTTAGGATGGAAATTGATAAATTAACTTGTTTGGTAGAAAGGAAATTGGGAAGGAAAAGAAAATTAAAAGAAAATTATAATGGGTGGGTCCCACCATATTTAATCTCTCCAAAAGTGGGAGGATTTTAGGAAGGAAAATGAATCTCTCACTACCTTGCTTCTTGTTTCGTTCTCTCTCTTTTTTTTTTACAATTTGCTCGTCCAATTTTTTTTTTTTTTTGCTTTTTTTTGTCTAATATCTTGTATGTTAATTAATCTCTCACTGCCTCGCTTCTTCTTGTTTCGTTCTCTCTCCATTTTTTTTTTTTTTTTTTACAATTTGCTCGTCCATTTTTTTTTTTTTGTCTAATATCAATGTTGTATGTTAATGACTTGCTCTTGAAGATGATGTACAACAATGAAGACTGAAATCATATGGTTTAGAAGTTTAGTAGTCACACCAATTTATAGCCCTTTTAGTAAATATATCTATATGGTACTTAGTTGATCGCACATAATTTTTGTTAATACTTGACTACAGGTGAATATTGAGAAATATATATGACCATACAAACTAATACTTTTGTGGAAAATTTCGCTTACTTTACAATAGTGGATGCATTGTATATTAGTCACTTTTTTTGTTGTATTTGAACCTTCAACAAGTTGTTGTATTTAAACTGTAGCTAGCTACTCTTTTGTTGTATTTAAACGTTAAAAAAATAAATGATGCATTAATGTTATATAAGTTAAATTATGTTTTTGTACTTTTATATATGTATATGTGTGTATAATATAGATGGAATATATGTTCAAGTTACATGAATTTTTTGAGTTAATTTGATGTTGAATACTGTATTATTTATACTTTTATTAGAAAAGAATATTAATAAAAAATATTTAGGCAAAAAAGTAATTACACCAATAATAATTTTTCCATCTATTCAGTTTCACTTCCAATACCAAACAAGGGAAGATAGATTCATTTTCTTTCCTTCCTATCATACCAAACAAGTCAAAGGAAAATCAAAATCTTTTCTATCCTTCTAATTTTCTATGCATTATAGTTTTCCTTTCCCTCCTATTTTCTTTCCTTCTTACCAAACAGATCGTTAAATTTATTTTCCATTAACTTAACTATGTTTCCAAAAAGTTCTGTATCCCTATAATAAGAAAATGTTTCTAAAATATTAAATAGTTGATGTAAAGCTAAATGTGCAGTAGGATAATAAACTCCATAAAGTAATTCAGTAACATTGTAAAAAATTTCTAAACATTTAAAAAAATACTCACCAATCTGCCAATCTGTATCGAAAATTAAGGGGTTGTTTGGTTAGGGGA